TCGTGTGTGTGTGTGTGTGTGTGTGTGTGTGTGTGTGTGTATGTGTGTGTGGAGGGGGGCACCAAGTATGGGTCGTGTATATGTAACAGCATAATGTTGGTGGTCGGCGGGTGCCGTGGTGCAGGTGTAGTTTGCTCGCCTTTTTTCTTTCCTTTATCGTAAAACATCTTCTCATCTCTCCACTTTCTTTTATTTGCATGTTACTGTAGTGACATTTCTAGTCTTCGGTCCATGTAGGCCTATGATCTGTTTGTATTGCAAGTGCCAAAAAACTCATCAAAAAGTTATAACCCATTATTAAATCAGAAAGCCCCCCTTCAGCGCCATACTTCCTTTGAACAGAAGAAACAAATATTGAGAATCATTAGGCTATCAATTTAATTAATGTATGAATATCAAAGATGAAAAGTATAAGCCTATACTATGATACCCTAATCCAGGTGTGAGACAGACCCCTGTTCAGCCTCCTTTTAGATACATTCACAATTCACAGTGTGCCATTTTGTTCCGTTTGGCACCATTTCAGGATTCTCCGACCACTAAAATTTAACACTCTACCCAATAATAATATTAATATCCATGATAACCTTCCTTGAGAACAATAATAATCGCTGAAGCTACAGAGTTTATGTGTGTTCCACTGAGGGAAGTTTTCAGCAGTTAAAAATTGATAACGTAGCAGGATAGAAAATGGCTGAATCTAGTGATTCTGGCTCAGTTCTGAGCTTGCAAACGGATACTGCGGCTGAAAAAAAATCCGAAGAGGAGAAACGCTTCTATGCGTTGTATTCCTTCAATGCTAAGAGGTAGAGATGCACAACTAGAATATGTCTGTATAATTCTCCTCTAATGTGTTACCCCATTGATGGTGGGTAGTTCACAATCGCCCTGTTGTCGTTGTGTCTTACTCAGTAGGACTAATAAATGTTTTTTTTTTTATTATTTTTATTGTTTCCAGGGGGGGGGCAAGCCCTCCTGAAACCCCCCACTGACGCCACTGTTGTTATGGCTAGTGCGCATCAGTATCAGTAGCCTTGGCTTAGTGGCTTAGTACGAGATGTGCATGATGTATAATTATTCTCACCCGCCCGGAAGTTCTCGCAAGATCAACTCCTCCCCTCTTCTCCCTCTCTCTGTCTCTTTCTGAATACTGTCTATCGGTGTGGACGATCAAATTGACCAAAACAAAGTTTAAAAATGATGTTAAAACACAAAAGTAAATTAATTTGGTTGTCTACAAAGATGCTACGCCTATTTAACTTTTCGAATCGAGCCGAACTACGCGGGTCGCCATTTTGTTTTGCCCGGAAATTCTCGCGCTACTCCTCTCTCTCTTTCTCTCTCTCTTTCTCTCTCTCTCTCCACTGCCCACAGACAAAATTGTACGCTTTTAGTAGGCTACAGTTGTAATGGAACGTTTGTTCACGGCACAGAATTCTACAATTTTTCTGTTATCACAGTGTAGAATTCTGTGGTTTAGGGTGAACGCAAAATTTGGTGAACACGCACCGGGTGAGAATAGCCACAAGACTCGCCTGCACTATTCTCACTCCGGGTGAGAATAGAGGTGGCCTTATGGAAGTGCCTATTTGCAATGCCGCATTGCGATTAGCGCAAGTGCAAAATAAAACGCTGTGTTTATATGAAACTTAATCTACCTTTGATTAATTTAAGTTCTAATGGCCGAAGGGACATTGCGTCTGCGTTGGCGTTGGAAGCCAAACCATTTTATGAGCGTGGGTTGGATCCCGGTCCTGAAATTTAAAAAAAAATAATTTTGTTGTTATTTGTTTTGGTCCTCTTCTCGACTGACCAACAAATTTTTCCCATAAAATTATAACTTGTTGCTTTGCAGTTTTTTTATGTCGTGATGAAGTATGCACATTATATTTCAAGTTTTGTCCCAAAGAAGAGCTCTGTACAAAGAAGGCCTTAGTATAGCTTATAGATAGATCTATACATTTCCTTTTACCAATTTAGTTAGTTTGAGTAGTTTAGTTTGAAGTACGGCTGTGGTCAGGCTAGTCGCCTATCAGCCGTTCGTTGCTTTCATTGCTTGCATTCCTTCCTGCTCGTTGTTTTCACACTCTGTTATATAAAGGTTGGTGCTCATGGCTCATGGATCTGGCAGTTTGAAACCTATCTCTAGGTTCATGGAGAATTTATTCGTGCCTTCCAGACCATAATGTCAATCCTATTCTTTAAAGCATTCAAGGATGGTGCAGACACCACACTTTCCGGTGGGGAATTCCAAGCGTTAACTATGCGTACACTGAAGAAATTTTGGCGGACTGCTGTTTTCACATATTTTTTTTTCAATTTTAGACTGTGTCTCTAGTGTTAGAGTGTAGATCGCGGGGTAAAATGTCTCCCGTTATGTTGTAAATTCCTGTTAAATACTTGTAGCTTTCAATCATGTCGCCTTTAGCTCTCCGATAGTACAACGATGGCAGATCCAATTTTCTGAGACGATCACAGTAAGCAAGGTGCTGTAGTTCAGGAATTAGTTTGGTGGCCCATCGTTGCACTTTTTCAAGTTGTTCTTCATCACTTTTAAGTCTGGGGTGCCAGACCACATTTCCATACTCTAGATGAGGACGAATGATTGATCACAGAGTAGAAAGGGACACTTTGTCCAGCATTGTGAAACCTCTCCGGATCAGTGCGAGAAGATTGTTAGCTTTGTTGACTTGGATACTGACATGTTTGCTGAATTTTAGATCGCTATCAATATTCACACGTAGCTCTTTTTCTAGTGTCACAGATTCTAGAGTGATGCGTTCACCTTTGGATGTCATCTTGTACTCACAGGGGTTTCTATTTTTCCCAATGTGCATAACCTTGCATTTTTCTGCATTAAACCTCAATTGCCACGCATCAGACCAGAGCTGGAGTCTGTTCAAGTCATCCTGGAGGTTGTCCGAATAGTCGGGTACTTCAGCAAAAATCTTCGTATCATCCGCGAACAGAAAAGTAGCAGAGAGGATATTTTCAGGGAGGTCATTGACGACCCTGAGGGATTCCTGACTGCACATGCTCCCAGGATGACTCCTCTCCATTTACAACCACACACTGTTGCCTATCAGTCAACAAGTCCCTTATCCAAGCGTGAATCTGCCCCTCATTTACATAGCCTTCCAGTTTTGTCAACAAACGTTCATGTGGGACGGTATCGAAGGCCTTAGCAAAGTCTAGATAAATGATGTCGACACAGCCATTTGCCTCAATCTTTGAAGTCCATAGGTCGAGCACCGCGAACAGGTTGGTTGAACAACTTCTGCCGCTCATGAAACCATGTTGACAGTTGCTAAACACAGGGTTGGGTTGATTTAAATCAGTTGATTTTTTAAATTTAAATCAACTTGACTTTTTAAATGAAAATCAGTGATTTAAATCACTTTTTTAAAAATTTATTTTTATTCAGTTTTTACATATTTCAACATTCAGAATTCCTTTCCTTGGTTTCATAAAACAGATATAAGGTTAAGTAGACTGATATAATCATGTTTAAAAGTCTGCTTTCCCTCCTTTCACTGTAAAATAATACAGTATTCAATTTACTTTTTTTTCCATAAGAAATCAGGGTTGGGTTGATTTAAATCAGTTGATTTTTTAAATATTTTAATCAGCTTGATTTTTTAAATAAAAATCAGTGATTTAAATCACTTTTTAAAAAATGTATTCAGTTTTTACATATTTGAACATTCAGAATTCCTTTCCTTGGTTTTATTAAACAGTATAAGGTTTAGTAGACTAATATAATCATGCTTAAAAGTCTGCTTTCCCCCCTGTCACTGTAAAATAATACAGTATTCAATTGACTTTTTTTTCATAATTGAAATCAGGGTTGGGTTAATTTAAATCAGTAAATTTTTTAAAATTTAAATCAACTTGATTTTAAAAATAAAAATGTGATTTAAATCACTTTTTAAAAATGTATTCTGTTTTTACATATTTGAACATTCAGAATTCCTTTCCTTGGTTTTATTAAACAGTATAAGGTTTAGTAGACTAATATAATCATGCTTAAAAGTCTGCTCCCCCTGTCACTGTAAAATAATACAGTATTCAATTGACTTTTTTTTCATAATTGAAATCAGGGTTGGGTTAATTTAAATCAGTTGATTTTTTAAAATTTAAATCAACTTGATTTTAAAAATAAAAATGTGATTTAAATCACTTTTTAAAAATGTATTCTGTTTTTACATCTTTAAATATTCAGAATTCCTTTCCTTGGTTTTATAAAACAGTATATAAGATTTAGTAGACTAATATAATCATGCTTAAAAGTCTGCTTTCCCCCCTGCTACTGTAAAATAATACAGTATTCAATTTACTTTTTTTTTTCATTATTGAAATTAACATTTTCTTTTTCTTTTTAGACAAACACAAGCGCGCGCAAACACACACACACTGTAATAAAATGCAAGTTTATCTATGCATAATTACCCCCCCCCCCCCCCCTTCCTTTTAGAGTGACATTTTCTTCATTTTTTGTCTGTAGCCATAATTCACTGATATATATATATATTATATATAAAACAGATTAAGGCTTTCTTTTGCGGTTGCTTAAATTAATCATTAGTTAAAATAAAGACAATGCATTTTGCACTAAAAGAACATACTTTTAGCAACCAAAAATCCCAAATTGTGTCCACATTTTAAAAAAAATATTAAAAATATTAAAAATCCGATTTAAATTTAAAAATTCTTGATTTAAATTTAAAAAATCGATTTTTAAAATTTTTATTTAAAAAATCAAAAAAATCACCAACCCTGGCTAAACAGATCATTTAGGCCTGGTTAAAGTTCAATTGTGGCTTTCCTTGGTCTGTGAGTCTGAATATTTTTTTTTTTTAATTTTAGGCTCAGGAGAAGAAAAAAAAACTTCCGGGACCGGGATTTGATGCCACGCTTGGAGGCACTGAACATTAGACTAAGAGAACGTGTACAGCTTGTATACGTTCTCTAGGCTTATCTAAATTAAAGTTATAGATAATATTTTGGGGTAGATCTATTGTTGTATGACGACACTGCGGACAGGAAATACTGCTTATACCGAGTTGCACCGTCTTGTTATTGTTATCCAAGCGCCTTTCGACTTACTTGCTCAAACTCAGCTGTTAGAATAGATGATCAAGACTACATCTAGTCTACTTTTGTGCAAACAATGTCAGAAACAATTGTTAGATCTAATCTAGATTCTAGATCTAGGTCTAGATCTAGATCTACCCAATATTGATCGGAATAAGACAACGTCATAAAAAAAGGAGTCAAATCCTAGGAGGTTTATCAAGAAACTGAGAAAGCTTCCACAATTCAGGCAGAACTACAATATTATTATAATGTAGAAACGATGGCTACTAGATCTAGATTTGAGTACTGGCATTTCAAATAGCATGGGAGCTATTCAGAACACGGCGTTTCAAATAGCTCCGGAGCTATTCAGAACGCGGCATTTCAAATAGCTCTCTCTCTCTCGTCCTTTTTAACTCCCAGTGGAGCACAGGCCATCAACAGCCTTACTCTGGACAGCGAAGCCTGTCCTGAGCATCCTTTTCTATCTGTTTCCATGATGTCCCCGTTTTTTTCAATTTCAGCTTGTACCGCTCGCCTCCATGTCATCTTTGGTCTATTTCCATTTCTTCACCTGTGTGTCTTCCTTTATTGGCCTTTGGCTTGTTCTTTCCCACAGTTGAGCATTAGTGACTCGGTCGTACCACTTGATCCCCACTATCCTTCGTAGGCATCCATTTACGAAGCTTTGCAGTTTCCTTGCTGCTGATGCTGTGAGCCTCCATGTCTCTGAACCATACAGTAGAACAGTCTTCATGTTTGTTTTGAAGATCATCAGCTTGGTGTTCAATCCCAGTTCCTTAGACATCCATATATTCCTGAGAATGATGAATGCAGCTCTTGCCTTTTCGATTCTGACCTTGATGTCTTCGTCTGTTCCCCCTGCCTTGTTGATGACACTTCCCAGGTAGGTGAAGGACTCAACATCCACCAATGATGCCCCTTGCAGTGTGATAGGAACGTCGGCGCCTTTCATTCGTAGAACTTTCGTTTTATCCGTGTGAATGTGGAGTCCAACACTACGGGAGAAGGTCCTGAGGTGATCTGTTTTCTGTTGCATCTGGGCTCGACTTTTAGAAAGAAGTGCAACAAAGTCGTCGGCAAAGTCCAAGTCTTCCAACTGATTGGAAAGGGTCCACTGTATGCTACCGCGTTGTCCCGATGTTGTCTGTCTCATTATCCAATCCACTGCTAATAAAAAGAGAAAAGGCGATAGCAGGCATCCCTGTCTCACTCCTGTATTCACTTCAAACGAGTCTGTCTGTTGCCCTCCAAGTAAGACACTGCCACTCAATCCCTCATACATCTTCTTGATCAATCTCACAAACTTGTCAGGTATTCCGTAGTGGCGCATGAGCTTCCTGAGTCCCTATCTAGGCTGTCAAAAGCTTTCTCGTAGCCAACAAAGTTAACGTACAGGGAAGAGTTCCACTCTGTGGACTGCTCCACTATTATCCTCAAAGTTGCAATCTGATCTGTACATGATCTCTTTTTACGAAATCCTACCTGCTCCTCTCTTAGTTTTGCATCCACTGCTTCCTTCAGTCTTTCCAGTATGGTACGACTTAAAACCTTCCCCGGAATGGAAAGGAGCATGATTCCTCTGTAGTTTTTACACTCATACAGGAGGTCTCCTTTCTTGGGTAGTTTCACGAGCAATCCCTCTCTCCAATCCTGTGGAAATTTTTCGCTGTCCCATATCTTGCCTCTAATTCCATGGAGAATTCCTGCTGCAGTGTCAATATCCGCCTTGAGAACTTCTGGGGGAATTCCATCTGGGCCGGTTGCCTTGCCTGCTTTCTGGTGTCTTATCGCCTCCTTGATCTCCTCTAAACTAGGCTTTTCTTCACTCACCCCCAGATCAATCTCTGCTGGTGGAATGTCAAAAATTGTTTTTCTGGCCTTGATCTGTTCAGTAGCTCTTTGAAATGCTCCTTCCAGCGTTCTTTCTGTTCGTCTTGATTTGTGAGAAGTTTTCAGTTTCTTGGTCTGGCGACACCCATGTTGATTTGTGTATCTGTTTATGTGGGAGTTGCTAATAGCGTCTGCCTATAATTATACACACAAAAATGTATTCAATCTAACAGACCTTTCAGTGTCTCTTTCCCTATTTTTTTTTCGCAGTGGCTACATTCACGGCGCCATGGTGAACGCAGTTTGCAGGCTACATTCACGGCGCCCTGAATGTAGTTTGCAATTTTAAAATGAGCTTGCTCACTTTACCCCCTACCCTTTTCCCTTTTGCTTTTTCTTTTTCTTTCACCCCGTCCCACCCCTCTTCCTTGGCCTTCTTCCGTTCTCCCTAGCTTTTTTCGTCGAACGACTTTTATTTTCAAATTGACAAGTGTTGCCAGTCTGCACTCGAAAAGAATATCGAAGTCGTGTTCTATGCATGAGCAAGTGAGGCCTTGTCGACTGTGGCTGCTTTGCTGTGGCCGCCTTAACCCTCCGTAAACTCAGTTGCATTCGGACTACTGCTACATTATTTTTCACCCGAGTATTCTTGTGCCTTGTGCTGTTTCCTCATTCATTTCCAGCGACTAGCGTTTGAGTTATGCCTCTGTGCCAATGGTGGGTGATTCAGGGCACTGTGAATTTAGCCTGCAAACTACTTTCACAGTGCTGTGAACGTAGTCACTGCAGTTTGTTTTTTTTGGCTGGGTTTTAGTAACATACGCTAGCTACTTACTTTGGGCCATTATATTTGTCAGTGGATTGATGGTGGTTGGAGTTGGACTGGAACTGGAAGTATAGGCCTAAGTGGTGCAGGCATAGATGCCTAGAGGATGTAGAGGGTTAAGTAATATAACAGAAGGCTATCTGTTGATCATGTGTGTATGGTTTATAATAGAACTTCCATACACTCAGCTATATCAGCTTTATCTTTTGAGCTTTGAAATTGCTTCCATTCACCTCAGCCTCAAACATAGATCAGATACTTTGACCTGACTGTTATAAGAATTGTTGACTTGTCACTGTTTAAAACGTATTCCTTTTATGAATTCATGATGAATCTTTCCAGGGGGCATGGAGCAGATGACCCTGCTTCCCCTGAGTCTGGTGGTGATACGGAAGAGGGTAGTACTTGGTGAGTGCTTAGTTTTTGTTAGGTCAAAAGTTTTAAGTGGTCTAGACAGGTGGGGGGGGGGGGAGTAAATTTGTACTTAAATTTGCTTTCCCACATGCTAAAGGGTAAAATAGTGGTGGAGGTGGATAGATTAATTAATATGTTTCCTTTAAAAAAACATGGTGCAAGGGGCCTAGGATTTTTTATTCAAAACTCTTTCTTTTCTCTATTGCCGGATGACTTGCATTGAAACTGAAATTAAATATAGTCTCACACTTTTAGTCAAATCATAGATAAAAAATTTGATGAAATATGTTGCTTTTGGCAGTGTGGAATAGAAAACAATGTCTTTTAAATTGTTTTTGTCCTCGGAAGTGAATTCTTTAAGTTTCTTCAGGGTAGAAAATAGGTGAATCGGATGAAGTTAGACCTGAAGAAATTTTCACTCTACACATACAGTCTAGCATGCACATGATAAAATTGGCAAGACATAGAAATCTTTTTGTTGTCACAACTTTCGCTAAGTACATGTTTTACGTACAAGGAATGTAAGAAAAAAATTGGGACCATTTGTGTGTTTGACATGCATGCTAGACTGTATGTTTCTGTAGTGTTTGCTGGATGTTTCATAAATCTTGCCGCAATGTGAATGTGATGATTTGAACCAAAAAGGTGATAACATGGACTATTTAAGATATTCTGAACTTAGTGCTTGTCAGTAACTTAATGACTTTTTATTTTATAAAGACACAAAAGGAGGCCTAATAACATTTTTTTGTCATTAAAGCTGGGAGTTGAAATGGGAATATGTTACAATTTGCTAAAAAATTTTCTCAAAATTTTTCTAATTCTCTAGGGAACATTATATTTAAATGCGCACAACCTACCTTCTATTACTTAATGTTCTACTGTTTGGGGTTTTTTTTAAATTTCTGTCAGTCTGAGCGTAGCTGCAACAAACCTTGCAGCACATACAGAAACAGATCTGAGGAAGTCCCTGTCGTACAAGTTATTGAGCAAGACTAGGCCATATGGAGAGGGACATGTTTTTTCAGTGGGCCTCAGGTAAGTACAGTAATTGGTGTCCACCTAACAGCAACCCCCTTGGGAAGCAGGCTTTGGTTGCTTTTCTACACTTTCAAAAGGGGGTGGGGGGTGGGGTGGGCTCTAAGCTTCACAGCTTATTACAACCCTAACCCCGCCACCACACACTTGCACCCATGGGTCCTAATTGCAGGATGTAGTGTCAGTCAAAAAGTGAGAACATAGGCAGTGTTAAAGCATCAGTGATAATGTTATGCAGGGTGGCCGAGACTTTTCCACTCAGACTCTTGAAAAAAGGTGGCTCATGGCAAGAGGATGGGAACCAAGCTCTTGTACTCCGCAATAAAGGTTGTTGTAAGAAGAAAAGATTGCTGCTAAAGGGGATTATTTATATGGGAAAAATTCTGTTACACAAGCTTAGGTTGCTGTTAGGTGTAAATAGCTCATATCTGGGTTGCTGTTAAGTAGTGGACACCACTATAATGTGATCAGTCTTCAAATGTTGGGCATTCTCTGACAGAAATAGGGAAATGACAACACCTAGGCCTAAGTATGAAAGAATCTTGAAGCTTTTCCACAAGACTTTTGTAAATCCTTATAATACACATTCTATTTTGTGTTTACAACCTACTGACTGCAGGTTTTTGGGGTTTTTGTTGCTCCTCCACTAGCTTGTAGTTCTAAATTTTATTTTTGCTTCCAAAAACGACTGATTTAAGGCAATAGAAATATTCTTGCACTAGGACTAGAATGTTGAGACGCAAGCAACAGAGCAGGCAATTGACAATGTTTTTGTTCAAGGGATTTGCTTTTATACATTACAGTAGAGCCTTCATTTGTGGAAAATGACTATTGGTTCAACAGCAAAAGTATTGAATCATATATTATTCACTGTTACTGAATATCTTTCTCTGTCTCTCTTTTTTTTTCTTCTTTTTTTTTTTGTAAAATGTTTCGCTGAGGTTTTTATCGGATAGAAATTGGGGATTTTTTGGGTCTCTTTTGAGGGATTACACCTGATTACATACTTGGGTAATATCAACACTTTTGCATTCTTTTTAATGGGGAATTAAATTCTGAGATAGTTTTGCACATAGTGTCTATGATTAGCCTTATACTTTATTGCATTCTTTTTTTTTTCCGTTTTCAGTTTCACAGACAGCATATCAACATCTGCGTCTTGTTATTACTGCATTTTGAAGTCGTCGTCAGACAGTTTAGGTTTTGATCACGTTACACAAGATGGTGTGGCAGAAGCAGGTGGAGACAACGACTGTCAAGAATTTGTTGTGTGTTTTATCTCGTTCCTTGAAAGTTCACTTGACTTGTATCCTTATTGGCCAGTAGTTGTGTTATTGTTCAAAATTATGGTAATGCTGAGAAATATTTTCACAACAGCTACTTTCTCACTTTAGATCACTTTAGGGTAATTGTAGATATGCAGTTTTAACTCAGATTAGTGACATTTTGTCCGGATGTATGTTTTTGTGCCACTTCTTTAATGTCATATACTACTCTTTGTAGTGCACAAAATAGGACCTCTATGATGCTGACCCATGGATAGTTCTGTCTTACTGGAGGTGAAATATCATATGCACAGTTTGTCTTTTTGATCTGATAATAAAATACACCGGCCTCTGTGCTGTAGTGGTTCGGTGCTTCACCGTCGCATGTGGGACACCCAAGTTTGATTCCCAAGTGGGGAGAATTTTTTATTGAATATCAATGTCTTTTTCCTGGGATGTTGTATCCCTTTCAGCTTGGGTTGGCCTTGCCAGCCAGGGTTGAAGCCTGCCTCTTAAATGATCGTGTCGATGGAGGCGTAAAAACACCTACATTAAGAAAAAAAATCAATAAAGTACAGTTGGATCAGGTATTAAACCTTGTCATTTTCAGTCTTTCCTTTGACGTCGAACAGATGTACAAGTTCTGTTCAATTTAGATGAGTAAATAGAGTTTTTCTCCTTAATTTGACAAAGATTTCGTACTGAACTGGATGAGTACTCCCAGGGTTTGACACCTTTGCTAGACAAGGAGGTAAGTCAGTTTTTATTACACATTTTGAAGTGTGTTAAGCTTTGTTGCGATTTGTTTTATCCTCTGTTGCTTGCAATTTGGAAACTTTGTGTCTTGTCATGAATACCTTCCCCCTTCTGTTGCTCATTTCATTTGCCTGTAAAGAGTTTGCTTAAAATTATATACGTTTAAGTAGTGTCATAACTGACTGATGACTGTCTTAAACATTTGGATGTTCATGTGCATCGTCATTTATAATTATTTTGTCTTATTTTTGTGAAGTAAAGTATGCTCTGACTGCACGTGTAGATAGAGGCTCAATTAAATTTTGGAAGATTAATTTTTTGATGTAAAGATAGTGTAGTGGTTATAATCTTTACAAAGAATACTTTCTGTTCTTCCCATCCTTGTGTTCTTCCCGTATGTTCCTGTCGAGGAAACAAAAGAGTATTAAGTTATTTATTTTTATTTCCTGATAAGTGAATGAAACTTATGCACACCTGTTTTATATTTTCTATGAATGCTTTCTACATAACCCTCTGAGTATCAACCCCACTTTTTCAGTGCCACATTATTGACCTTTCAGGTCATACCACAAAGACATGTATACTTGTAGAGTGCATTACAAGGTTAGACTTGCCAGCCACTTTTCTTTTGTGTGATTTGTTGACTTGTTATACAAAAGTTTACTGCAGTGCGTATTATGTATATCACGTAGAATAAACCCTTTAAAAGCATTAGAACTACCCGTTCCAAAAGCTCATTCTTTAAAAGATTTTCGCCCTTTAATGTGCTGCCATGTTTGTGAAAGGCATGGTGGGAGATTCTTTCTCTAATTCTTCATTGTATAGGCCTATTATTATGAAAATTGTTTTGTTGTGGCTGCTAGTAATCAAGTGAACACAGGGAGAAGCGTATTTCTGCCAACTACAAAAAAAGATTTTTAAAGGAATATCTACAACTGAAACTAAGCAGGGGAAAGTGTTTACATTTCAATTCTTGGACAGGGGACTATTTTTTTTTTATTCAGTAGGTTTGTTTGTTGGTTGTTTTTTTTGCTTTCCTTTGACATATTCATGTTATTTTTATATCATAAATGGTAATTTTTCCATTCCCAATTGGCCAGAGTTGTTTGTGTAATGATTAGGTTCAAAGCTGTTCCACACAGAAGATACTGGTTTGATTCACATGTAGAGAAGCTTTTTATCAAGTATCTCTGTCTGTGTGCTGGGATGTTGTGTGCCACTCATTCTATTTCAGCAGGATCAAAGCAGCATGCCTTGTAAATTATCTTAGTTGTGTTAATGGGGGTATAAAACTCGGTCATATACAATAGATCATACAACAATATCTCTGATGGGGCGCCCTTGAATCTGGGTTAATATGGGGAATTTTTAAGGCTATCCACCAAGTCAGCCTTGTCCTATTGGAAATTGACTGTCAATTTGGAGGTCCTGCCTCTCAAATAACTTTGCAGTGTTGAAAAGGGTATAAAACCCATGTCATAATGTGATGCTATCCACAATCTTAGTTTCAGCTGAACAAATAAGTATGTTTCTTATTCACAAATTTCCCATCTGAATAATGTTGTATATTGGACTTTTGATTCATTACTTTTGTTTCCTGTCAGTTATAGATCTTGAAGGAAATGGTAGTGATAAGAGATAATATTAAATCTTTGATCAAAATAGATACCCGTAGAGGATGGCAAAGGCAGTGCTGATATTTTTAATGGAGTGTGGAGTGTATGTATATATGGACTGATTAATCGGTTTATAAGAGAGTATTTTGCTTGGAAATATTTATTTGCCCCTTTTATGTTCATACTTTCAGCATGGTCAATTGGCAATAGTGTTTTAACTTGTGATGAAACAGTTTAGTGACTTTTCGTGCACATTCTCAACCTCTCTCCTCCATATTGCACTTAGCCCCTTGTCCCTCGCTCCTCATCTGGAGGCAATCTTGACTCCCTTAACAATGCCTCTTCCAACACAAGCGCGGAAGCCACACAGCCGAAAGAGGTAAATCGTAACCAATGTCTGCTTGTTTTATTGATGTTTTTGACGTTTTTCTGTTTTCTTGTTTGCTCTCTTTCAACATTGGTGAGAAAAGAATATTGACTTCATTGTGCCTTTATGACTGATCTTGAAATTCTTTTCTTTGTGAGTATATTGTTAGTTATTTAGCTGTTTTACTTAACCGTATGAATACACAGCTTTTTTTTAAAGATAAAGTGGTGCCATTTTGACTGTTTTAATTTATGTTTGCTAACAAAGAGTGCTTCTTGTGTAGAATGTGCTGTTGTTTTCATGGTATCTTGACTAGTCTCCTGTTTAGTGCTATTTTGTTATGTATACTAATTGACCTTGCATTCAACCACATTACTTTGTGTTTATGGTTGAATTATAAAATAACTGAACTCACATTCTTTGATAACGACTAATATTCTTTGACTGAGTCTTACATTCTTTGATTAGAGATAGAGAAATTAATTTTTAATTTGCCTACTTTAATTAAAAATGTGTAAAGATTCTTACAGTTTTTAAATACAAACATATTGTTGTGAGCAATTTACCAAATGGCACATCACAGCCTCTATATAATATTTGATTTCTCTTTCATTTTCATATTCTTTTTCTTCAAATTTAAAACAAAACAAAAAATTGTTTCCCTTTTTCCTTTACCTCTCACTAATCCCTACTGTCCTAATTACTCACACTGTAGGTAAATAAAGACATCTTATCTCGACTCACTGCAGTGTGCAGTCAAACCTGTCCAGGAAGAGAACCCATTGTCAAGAAGAAAAGTGATCACCTTAGACAAGTCATTCTCTTTAGAAGTGTCATTATAATATTTTTGAAAACTCAAGTTGGATATGGAAAGTGGTCATTTGTACAGGTGATTGTATCTTGGACAGGTGATCGTTAGTGCAGGTTCGAATGTTTTAGTTGTCTTCTCTGTAGTTCTTTCTCTCGTTCATCATTATGTAACCTTAATAGGTCCTCAGCCGATCTTGTGTTTCAGATTTTGTAGTTTGAATGAATTTTTTTGCAACCAATGGGTTTATTTTGAGCACAAGGAAACAGCAGAAAAGAAGAGGAATTAACAAAAAATATCTTTTCAACTGTTTTAAAACTACTTCAAAAGTACAAACCTGCTATAATGATCACCTGTCAAAGACAATCATCTGTACAAACAACCACTATCCGCTCTCCCCTTTGAATTTTTACAACATTATAATTATAATGACACAGTCTATGAGGAACACCTGTCTAAGACAACCACTTTTCTCCTCGACAGTGGGAGCTCTACTCAGATAGTTATGACCATTTGTGAGGCATCGTGGTGAAATCAGGTGCTCGTCAAAATAATGAAATCCGAGAAATCTGCATTTTTCTGCCAGTTTGGAAATATTTTTTTAATTCTTGTTTTTTTGCCTCAACACCTTTTATGTCCATTCAAAAACACTTTTATGTGTGGAATTTATGAAAAAATGCTGATTAAAGGAAGAAAGGTGGAAATTTGCAGTTTCCTAGGACTCTTAAGCTATGGAAGTCCCCAAACTTTGGCGGCCATTTTCTTGCTAATTTTACTTCTGAAACCAGGCGGCCCCACCTCCTTCAATTGCAAATATCTCCACTTCTATTAAGGATAAATGGATATTTTTTCATCAAAAGAAGACACCAATAACTCCATATGCCCAAAAATAGACGAGCACCTGATTCCACTGCGTCGTGACACATTTATTTCTGTCATTTGTTTCTTTGTTTGTCAATTTTAACGTGAAAGTGTTGGCAATATACAGCGTAAATTTTTTTTACACTTTGACCTTACAAGAGGTGGTCGATTTGCACTCGGTGTGATGTGATCCTTATTCTTTATATATGTTTCTTTTGTCGTTGTGTATTTTTGGGCCAAGTCTGTTCATGATCATACTCTCTTGGCTTGTATACTACGACTCAACTCTAGTCAGTTGGATTTCTTTATATCTTATCGTCACATACTAGTGGAAATGCCTTGTATTTCTCTCCGACTGCCACCAATTAGAGCTCTATGATGAACATTAAGGCTATCATTTATTGTTTTTGACCCAGCAGCTCTCTGGCTTTTGTCCTTCTGCCTAGTGCCTTGTGGTGGTATCTTCCGATGCATCACAATTTATGACTGGTTTCATGGAATACAACAGATTGCATTTATATCTATAGCGCTCTGTCCCATACAAATATAAGCTCTGAACGCTTTACATCGTTGACATGTTTACTGAAAGTAAAACCTCATGCACACACAAGAAAGAACATTTCATATAAATAAGTAAACCAGTTCCACCACAAAAGGAAGTACTTTCTCAGCCATACATTAATTATACACATATAAGGACAGCAGTGAAACAAGACACATCAGCACCTGCTAACGCACTCCAACTAAAAATTAAACAAATAAAGTATTGTTTGTGTTTTACTGCATGGGGGAGAAATTGACTGCATAGATCTCTTTTTGAAGGACAAGAAGTTTTATCGAACAGCGTTTGACAGCTACCTCCAAGTATTCTGCTGAGATTAAATACACATTAAGCATGAGATGTTGGGCCATCAGGCTGAAAATGGTAGACCGATCCTCCCGAGAGAGATAGGTGAAATGGTCTTTTACTTTTACTTTATAGCTGATATTAGTTGAAATAATTTTCTCATCATAGTGTCAAAGGTCTGTCTATTAGGCCAGTCCTGCTTGTTATTGGATCTGATAATCTATCTCGTAGGATTGATTTTGATCTAGTGTATCTGTACGGGTGTACAATGTTGTTCCTTTTTTGCTACCCTGTCTACTTCACTGTTTTCTGAAATGTTTGAGTGGCCTCTGGTCTGCCATAGGGTGGTATCGACTCCAGAGACTTTCATTCATAAATGCATATGTATCTAACAGGATATGTGTCAGTTCTGGGAGGGTGGTTGTGGGGTGCCACTTTTGGGTCATACTTCTTTTCTTTCCCTTTACATCTGTCTGTCTTGTTATTTGCCTGCACTGAATGGCTATTATCATTTCAGTGTACTTTTCTTTACTCAGAATCAGACCTGGAGACTCAGACAGAATTCTGGTGTGTTGGATAATTTGTTTCCATGTCCTTGTAGCATGAAAAGAAAGTCTGCTAAGAGGAAACCACAGCTTGTTAGAATCGGGGTTAAAACATCTGGAAATCTGTCTTTAATCAATAGAATATTGTTTCTATTGCATGAATGGCCATACAAAGCTGCAGAAAGCTGCGTGACTTGAATGCGAATAGATGAATGTGACACTTTTATTGACAATTATACACTTTTACGAATAACGTTTCGATGATTACACCCTTTTTCAAAATACCTACAAAACAATAAGTGGTGAGTTTAAAATGAGCAATTATGAATAGAAGCTTCACTCTCATTTAATTGCATTGTTTCTATAGCAGCAGTTGCTGGGAAGTTCTCCAGTGACTTTGCAAAGATGAATTAAAGTTAAAGATCTGTTCATGCTGTAAATGATTGTCCAATGTCCAACTTTTTATGTACTTTTTTAGGCTAAGCCACCTGTGTTTCCATATATGGGTTCATCATTCTTTGGGTCTGAGTCCATTGTCCTCAAGGATGTTCTCACATTGATGACTGGAGAATCTTTCTTTGTGGTGTTGTCTTTCAAAAATATTAGTTGAATTTCAGAGATATAAATATTCATTTGTTCTATTCTTTTTACTGAAGAATTTTTGTGGTTTTGTTTTTCAAAGATGTTTGTGTTTGAGGGATTTCCAGATCTATGTGAGGTCACATGTCTTTCATGATAATATTTGTATCTTGCCTTTGTTCAAGAAGCAAGTGTTTTTTGTCTTGACCCTAGGAAATACCAGAGTACTGACTGCTGCTGGAGTTGATATGACAATAAAGAAAGCTTAAATCTTTATCATCCAGACTCTTGCTAACTGGTTTGATATTTCAATTGCCAACTCTTTTTCCATCTTACCCTAAAAGTTTACGCGGCTATCAGGCAACTGGTATATGTAGTACTGACCCCTCTAAATGGCTTCTGTATGATTCATATTTAATAAAAGATCCAGTAAAAAATTACTTGAATAGGAGGTGTATGGACTCATATAGTTTATTTTCCAAAAGCTATTTTCTAGAATGATGCTGGTAGACAAGCTTTTTCCTTGGGTTGCATTGTTCACTATCCCTATTTCTTCTTTCTTCACTGCCTCACATTTTGACAAAAGTTAGACATGATGATAACCGCTACTATCTCACCGACAGCTCAGCCAACTTGGGGCAGGAATCCAAAGTTACCTGGAACAGTGGCCACCTGTGGTTCTGGGTTTTCTGACCCGCACCCTGCAATGTATGGGGCCTGAGATACAGCAGCTCATCTATGCAGTAAGCAACTTTTTTCGGGCATAATTTTACTTTATATGATCATTGTCGTATCATTCCAACATATCAATAGAATAAATTTATTGCTTGGATGTGTAACAAACCATGATTGGTTGTATGTGTGTAATGTAACCTACTAATGAATTTTCTGAAAGTTCCTGAAGTTTGGAAACTATAAAATGGAGTGTACAGAAATTTGTTTCTTTTTCTTGTCAGTCATTTTCCTGTTTCAGACCATTTTCTGTATTTTCCACTTGCAAATATAAGTCGCAAACCCTTGCTTTCTATTGCTAAATGTCCACAATTAAACATAAAGGTGTGGGCGGTTGATGGGTGCTCTTTTACAGTTTACTCTTTCTTTCTAATTGAATTTCTACAGACCTTATCTCTTCTTCATTTCTTTGTATGTTACTCTCCAGTAGTAACACTTCTTTTGTTTTAGTAGAGGTTTTACGGCGCTCGCAACTGCAGATGGTCATATGAGCGCCAGAAGATCAGAGGTGTTACAAGAGAGTAACAAACATAAAAAAAGAAGGAGGGGAGATAAGAACGACAGATGTTTGATAGGAAAGAAGAAGCAAACCACACCAGAGCACCCGCCAACCACCCACGTAACACCTCTAATCTTAGGCCTTTGTACATGTATTACCTTTTTGTATTGCAAGTATGGTAAAACTAAGCTATGTAAAAAGGCACATTGTTGGTTGAGCACTGATGTGAGAGTAGACTTAATTTTTACCATTTGTGAGTCAGTGATGGGAAGATTGTTAAGTTCAGGAGAACTGTTAATGTCTTGCAAAGTAAATAATATCACTATTTTTCATTTTGCTAACAGTCCTGGAAACCACAGAAACCTTGTAATATCTCTTTGAATTCACACCTTAAGATAGTTCATAATATATGTTACTGACTGTTACAATTTCTAGATGTGTTTTTAATAATGATACAATGTAATTCTGTTTCTACTGCATCTACCGTGTGAAGAAGAGAAAAAGGAGATGATTTACTAGTCTTTTGTGTTTGTTCTCAAGCTCAAATACTTCTTAAATCTAGACATGTAGACCAAACTAAAAACCCTCTGCCTAACCCCAAACCCTCTACCTTACACACTCTACTTGTGTTTCATTCAACAGGCTTTGCTGAACGCCAATCTTCAGGTTTCTGGAGCGTCAGCACAGTTAGAACAAGACATCAAAAAGTGAGATGGGACTTAAAGGCGCTACTGGCAGCATTATCTTCTTTCTCTACCCTATTGTTCCGATTAAGTACCTACTTCTTTCGTTTTACATTCTTGAAATACAGTCGAACCTGCCCTGACGGCCACCTCTATAAGACGGCCACCTGTACAAACGGCCACGTTCCATTTCCCTCCTTGCGTTTTTTCTATATAATTTTACTGTGTAAAACGTCACCAGTCCAACGCGGCCGCGGCCACCATATTTTACCACACAACCCCTATCACACTAGAGAATAACACCAGTCTTAGACGGCCACCTTAGTGACTCCATTAGGTTTTGTCATAAATTGTGCATTGGCCCTGGCGTTGTGGGCGAGCCGTCATAATCCAATCACCTATTTGTTGTTAGGTAGTCCCTCCAACCGATCATGTTGCGTAGGCCCCTCCCACTGTTGACCAATAGGTAACAAATTTTCAGCTGCTGGTGGGGTAAGCGTGTGATCCTTCATAACCATAAGCCCTGCAATGAACTCATACACAAATCGAAAGTGAGATGAGTGGTCACTGTTTACCCAGTCTGTAACAAAATAACAATGGACGTCAACATGAACTTGTGACAGAAGCGTCGCTCGTTCTCAGAGTGGTGGCGACCCATGTGTTTGTTTTACCATAGCACTACCTCCTTCTTGTCTGACATATTATTTTTATTGTCACCCTTGCACAAAAGCAGCTGCAAAAGAAAAAAAAGAGAAAAAAAAAAAAAAACCCATTGGAAACAATTACAGTAACAGCAACAATAACAACAACAATAACAACAACAACAAGAACGATGCAGCTACCTTCGGTTGGGACCTCAGAAAGGAATGATTTGTTTTCTTCATTTTGATCAGTCCTGCCTAAGACAGCCACCTGTCTTATAAGGCCACTTTTCTCCTTGACAATGGGTGGCCGTCTTACACAGGTTTGACTGTATATTATCTATGATTTCATACTCACTTCAGTAGTATTTTCTTAATTCTTAAAGTTTTTGCTGTCATAGGTATGGAAACAATGCTTTTCTACAAGTTTGACAACAGTACATGTGTTTTTCTATCTTATTTTGTATCAAACCTTTGCAATGAATGATTTATCCAACAAAACTTTGAAAACAACTGCTGTCTATATTTAGGTCAAACTTATCAATTAATGATATATTCATAGAAGTACCAGCTATCTGTATTTAGATGCTGTTTTTGCCTCCTCCTCTGTCTTGTGATTAATTTTTTCTTTTCTTTTATTAATCTTGTTTATCGACGGTATAATACTCTGACTTTGTAACTGGTAGAAATAGGTTAACTTGGGGGGGGGGTTCTTAAACAGTTGCAGAGATCGATCTGCAGGTTCCCAACAAAAATTACCTCAAGACAAGGGTAGACATCCATCATAGCGTATTTAGTTTCAAATGAAACTTTGTAGAAATTAATTTCGATGCATGGAACATTTTTCTTCTTATTGAAATTTTTCAAGAAACCAGTTACATGGTTAAAGCATAACACCATTGATATGTGATTGTTGAATTGCCTCTTGGCCTTGGTAGTCTAGTTTTAAGGCTCTGGACTCAAAATTGTGAGATTACAGTTTTGGGGTTTGAGGCTCAGGCCTGACGTTGTGTCATTGGGAAAGTCATTTTATTTTACATGAATGTTCCTCTTCACCCAGGTGTGAATGGGTACCCAGCTGTAGACAGGGAAAGATCTTGTCAGTATGTTGGTGTTTTAGCATCTGTAAAACGGCAACTTGCACTGTATGTTTCCCCAGAAGTTGAGATTGTTTCAGAATGCTATCAGGTCTGCTGGGGTGGAAATGTAATATAACTTGTAAAACGCATAGAGCTTGCTGTTGAAAGAATTTACACTTTACAAATCGTTGCTGTTGCAAGCAATCCTCTTAAGTCCAAATTTTGAAAATGTTTTTATTGTTACACCCTCCCAAAGCTCTACCAAAGATGCACCTTTCACATCACCAAAATGCAGTTTAATGTTATGGTCAAGGTTTTAATTTTCTTGCTTTTTCATGATTCCTGATAGGCACAACACAAAAATGAGGTTTTTTGTCTCTGGTGTAAAAAGTACCTATATGGACTTACGTGCAATTCTTGCAACACAAACGAAATGTTATTTCTTTATTATTATTATTCCTCAGGTTCTTCCAGTGTTGTAGCTTGTCTGGGTTGTTGGAGAAGCCTCAGTCAGACAACACGTCCAGCTTGACCAGTTTGGACAACTGTGACCAGTGGCAGCTACAGCCTGTGGTTGTCTCGGTGACGGTGAAGGATGGCACGGCTAGTTTTGAGAAGACGTGTAAGTTAACAAATGTTGAAATGGTGTAGAACAGGGGTGTCAAACTTGATCATTCAGGGGGGCCAAAGCTCAGATTACAGTTAAGGTTGCGGGCCGAACTAGATAAACACTCATTGAGCTGTAGAAAACTAATCCTTTTTTAAACTAAACAATGATATGAGACAAAAGTTAAGATGATAACAAATAAAGGCATATCAATTTTTGCTCATATGCCAATTTGTCAGAGCTGAATGCTTAACATCTTTTCTTAGCTACATGTCTGTGTTTTATGTTCAGAATAATGTGCTGTGTTATACGGAGTGCACACTGTTAGTGGAATTCATTTGATTGAGTAAGGGCGAGCCAGATTTTCCTTCATGGATGGGGCAGAAGCTACCATTTTGGCACAATTCAATCAAATTCAATTGTGACCCTCAGAATCGAAGCTTTTCCTGTTTTTTTCGAAAGTGGTCTTAAATCACTCTTCTTTGCACTTCTATCTTTCGCTGTCTGCTCCCAAGTTTCAGATGGTCTTTGATATTAAAATTTAAACTAAATCATGTATCTTTGTTCACAGACAGTTGTCAGTTTTGCAAGAATGTCACAGACAAGTTGATGGCACAGGATCAGTCAAATGTGACTAACATCAGAGATTTCTTGGAGTCCATTAAACTTGCTGTAAGCTATGTGTGTGAAAATATATATAATATATATATATCTACTCGTTTGTACAGGTGGCCGTCTTGGTGGGTTTGACTGTGTTTTCTCTCCTTATACAGTCTTATATGCACATAGTAAAATCGGTGGCACGCCGAAATCTTTTCATCATGTTCGAATTTGACTATGTACATGTTTTAAACTCAAAGAATGTAGGGCCTAATGAATAAGAAAAAATTTGGGAACTTGAAATATGTTCACTACATATCGCGGGCAGTATTGCATACAAACGTATCTGAAAGGCCGCCAAAAAGGACTTAAGTCTGTATGCAATACTGCCTGCGAGATGTGTTCGCTATGTGCTTGCTAGACTGTATCGTTAAAGAAAGTGAAACTAATGACTGAATGTATCAACAAGTGTTTTGTCATCTTTTATAAGCATGCGGAAAGCTGGGTACACATTTTAAAAAAATTATGACAAAGCTCAATAATCATTTTAAAATGAGTTTAAAAACATATTTTGATTGTCCATATGATGCACTTGCAAAGTTTTAATTTGCAGGACATGACAGATATAGTGTGAAACAAACTGGGAAAATGACAGATTTTTTAATATGATAAGCTAAAGCATGTATGGAGAAATTGTCACTTCTTGTTTGGCCTGCATCATTGTTGTTGGTCTTGACCTGCTGTGGTCAATCTTCCAGACAAGAAAAATTTGTTGTGTTGTCATCAGATCAGTAGCAAGAAAAAAAATTCAATTAAACATGGTAAGGAACTAGCAATGCCAATCGCGCTTTTCCGCCAGGAGAAAATTTGGTCCCCGTTTGCGGGTGAATTTTTGGACCGGGTCGTAGCGTAGCTGACTAACTTTCTCAACCTCGGTCTGCTCTATGTCTGAACCAATGTGAATGAAACTCAGCAACCAATCAGAAAATAGGGCGAACTAATGATATGTGGACGTTGAAGTTCGTACACATAAATTAACCTATAGTTTTGGTGTCGGGAACATTTTAGTATCAGGTGTACCGAAAACTATAAGGAGTTTGCATTTCAACGCCGAGATGGTAATAGATCTATCCTCTATAGTGTGCTCAAATTTGAACGTTCTGTGTCGAGTAGTTGTTTTGACCCGATCATAAATGTACGGCTATCCCCCTATCCAAAGCGGCTTGGCACCGAGACCGGCCATTTTCCCCTCACTCTCGCGGCAAATGTATGTGACCTACAAATCCCTGCATGACTATTCTGAGTCCGTTCATTGGTCACTTGAAATAGGGCAATGGCAGGCGCGCGCATGCGGTTGTTTTTCTCTCTGCTCCCCTGTAACATCGCAATGGGGGTATTCCGAGGCGAGGTTATCTCATCTCGGGGCGTTCGGGTCTCAACAGGGAAAAAGAATTTTTTATTGTACGGCATGCTAGATTGAATTAACTTATCTTTTACAGTTGGCAAGGTCTAAAGTCATCATAAAAAGCTTTGCAATTATTTAGTCACGTTGCCGACATATATTCTTTAAGATCACATGTTGTGATATGATGCTATAAATAAAATGGACTCATCCCGACACCCCTTTTTCGCAAAATCGTAATATGTATACCCAAATTTTAATTATAACAAAATAACTACGAAATGGTTAGTAAATATGACGGCAGAAATTATTTCTCCACCCAAAAACACATCGGGTAGCCAAGTTTCTCTCTAACACTCTGATTGATTACCAAGATATCGTCCATTTTCTTACAGAATCTGTCCACTTTTTAGGAGTATTTTTTCCACAATGTAGGTCATCCATATTTTGCCGAACTTTACAACCAAAAATTAAATTTTCATTGGCATTGTTAAAGGAACTCTATCCTGAGTGCATTGATTTGGCTGAGGTGTAGAGATTTTCAGTTTAGTGTATTTCTTTTCTCACTGATATAGTTCGCCCACAACCTGAACAAGTTGAAAAGATTCTTGGGACAAGCAGAAGTGGACTTTTATGTTCTATACAGGTGAGTACAAACGCTCTGTGTGTGTTTGTGTTTGTGTGTGTGTGAGTGAGTGAGTGAGTGTGTGTGAGTGTGTGTATGTGTGTGTGTGTGTGTGTCCCTCTCTCTCTCTCTGTCTCTCTCTCTGTCTGTCTGTCTGTCTCTCTCTCTCTCTCTCTCTCTCTCTGTCTCTCTCTCTGTCTGTCTGTCTGTCTGTCTGTCTGTCTGTCTGTCTCTCTCTCTCCCTCTGTCTCTCTCTCTCTCTCTCTCTCTCTCTCTCTCTCTCTCTCTCTCTCTCTCTCTCTCTCTCTCTCTCTCTCTCTCTCTCCCCCCCCCCTCTCCATCTGCTTCCCTCTTCCTTTGTCTCTGTCTCTGTCTCACCCTTTATCTCTCTTTCTGTCTTTCTCCCTCTGTCTCTATCTCTTATCTCTCTCTCTCTCTCATCTCTCTCACTTCCTCCCTTCCTCTCTCTTTCTCTCTTTCCTTCCCTTTGTGTGTCTTTTTCTCTGTCTCTCCACCTTCTTCCTCCTGGTTCATATGATGGAGATACCGTCACCTGGACAAACAATGATCTCATGAAAGTCGTCTAAGTTTCCATGACATTGAGCTCTTGGTGGAGCTCTGGCCTAGCGCACTGCTTTCCTGGGGCCAGCGTGAAAGAGGCAGTGCTCTAATTAATAATAAATTAATAGATGATTTCATTCGTCTTCGTGCTTCAGGCACCTTGCAGACTTATTGATCTTTACTTTTTCTTTACCCCTCTGGGCATTTATTCTGCTGTGTCCAGTCTGTAGTGTGATTATGATTTACTGACCTGGCCTGGTCTAGTTCACTAAGCCTGTGGTTGCTGGAAGATGGGTCATGAATATGGTGCTGCAGCTTCCATAAAAATTTCTGTCTGAACAGAGCAGTAAAAAAATCCCAACTCTCCCATTCAATGTAATCATAATGATAAGAAATTGCATTTACACAGTGCATATCCCCCCTCAACAATAAGTTCTTAGCGCTTTGCTATCTATATTATTCACCACTGTAAATATTCTTTCTGAAAATCTGAGTGTTTTATCTATTACAGCTATGAAAAGAAAACATGATGTGTGGAAATGAATGTTCTCTGAAAAACTGCATAATTTATTTGTCACATTTTTTAAAGAACATGATATATAGAAGAAACTTTCATTGTAAAAAAACGTCTATTTTGTCTGTCAAAGCCGTCTGTGGGGGACAGGGTACAAAAAGAAATATTTTCTGTGAATAATCTTGTATTTTAATCAGTCACCAGTGTGTTTTGTTGACCGGATACTACAACAATATGTGAGGCATCATGGTGAAATCAGGCGCTCGTCAGAATAACGAAATCGGAGAAACAGGCATTTTTCAGCCAATTGGCCAATTTTTTATAGAATTTGTGTTTTTTAGCTCAACCCCTTTTATGTTCATATAAAAATATATTTCCTTGTGAATTTTACTGAAAAACTTTCATCACAGAAACCAGGCAACTTCACCTCCTTCAATCGGAAATATCTTGACTTCTAATCAAGTTAAATGGGTATTATTTTCATTGAAAACAAGGCAAATGAATAAGCTTTCAGATGATACCAATAACTGCACATGCTCAAAAATTGATGAGTGCCTGATTTCACTGCGCCGTGACACATATTCTCTGTGAATAAACTCATATTTTATATGCTAAAGCAGCGCATGGAGAAGAGAATACAGTAACTAATCGACTGCATAGTGTAAGATTCCGCCACAGGCCATTTTGAAAGGTGATGTATGATGGAGTGTTGCACCAAGCAGTCGAAATGTTTTCTTTTGCATAACTAGAAAGACTGTAGGAAAGCATCAACACAGTGTGTTTCTTGAGTTGAAGCTTTTGTTACACCTTCTTACAATTTTCTCAAACTGTTGGGCCTCTTGCAGCTGTGAAAGTTTGTCTTTGTTTTCAGTACAGTAAATAATTAGTATAATTTGTAATGTTTTTATGCTACTAAGATTGTTCATTCATTTGCTTCTTAACGTACTTGCTAGCGGCTGCTCTGGTGTGGTTTGCTTCTTCTTTCCTATCAAACATCTATCGTCCTTATCTCCCCTTCTTCTTTTTTATGTTTGTTACTTTCTTGTAACACCTCTTATCTTCTGGCGCTCATATGACCGTATGCAGTTACGAGCGCCGTAAAACCTCTACTAAAAGTAAACTGCCACACCCAAGGAGTCTGTCTATTAATAGTAATTGTATTTTTCTCCCATAGGGCTTTGTCGTATCTTCGCAAGTGTGGCTGTGGTGAATTGTTGCTGCGCTACGTGAAGCTGGACGCATCCTCTGAAACACTCAGCGTCGTCTCAGTACTGGAGACATTTATAAAGGAAATGAAACAAACTCTGTCTTGAGGTTAAAGAGACAGACACTGTCATCACGAGGTTAATGAAACCAACTCCATCGTGAAAGAAATGAAACAAGACTCTGTTTGAGCTCTTCTCATACCCTGTCACAGAACTTCCTTGGTGATAGTTTGCTCAAACTTGGCATAATGTACGTCATCATATCCTTTTGTCGTGGGCACTGCCTGCCGTTGTTGTCAACAAAGTGCAAGAGCCACATGTTGGGTGTTCGCATGAGGATACCTATTCCAGTGCTGGTTTCTTGTCTTGCATGTAATCACGGTAAAGTGTGTGTGCATGTGCACGCACTTGTGCTTGTGTATGTGTGTGTGTGCGTGCACAGGAAAAAACCATCAAAATTTGTAAACATCAGTGCCAAGTCGGGAAGACAGGATTTTAAGGTGTTTTTCTTTAACTGCATTGACATGTTGTTCCCATGTAAACTTTAACCTTTTTTATTTTTTATTCAAATAAGATAACTTCAAATTTTTAAAAAGCAAAATACTCTGGATGAAAGGTTGCAGGACTGCCATTTTATCAAAGTGATGTTGGAGGCTGTATGGTGGGTTTCTCTGTGCAGCCACACATACATGCATATGTACATATATACACAGGCTTGCACTTGCATGTTCACACACACACACACACACACACACACACACACGCAAACACACTCACACACACAGTCACCCACCACAACTGGCACACACACAAACACCCACACGACACGCAGACATATGTACACGCTTACACAAATAACATATGTATACATTGTACTTGTGCTTGTTACGCTTGAAAAAGAGACTATGGTATCTGTCATACACTTTGTTTAGTCCAAATTCTTACTGCTGAGTTGTTGGTTCTTCACTGGTTGTGAGTCACAGACGCACTTGTTCTCTATTGTCTCTTTTACAGAAGCTATTTACACTACAGTAAAAAGCAAAATAATAATAAATGAAAAAAATGAAACAACGTTCGTTTCATGTATTGTCGCCAAATTTTTTGTCCTGAAAATAAAGATATACATGATCTTATGCAGTGGAGAATGCTGTAAAACTTTTATCAAGCAAAATAAAACTACCCCAGATTTTGTCAATTTATTTTTTGCACCACAACTTACAGCGCTGGGCTTGGTGATATCTCGAGTTCTAAGCAGCATTTTCACTTCATCCACCTTTTGTTTTTAATGTTAAGCTGTTATTTCTACCTCTGTGGATGGTTTGCAGTTTAATCTTTTTAGAGAGTGCGTGGCATTTGGGTGATGGTTGGTGGGTGCTCTGGTGCGGTTTGCTACTTCTATTCTGCCACACAGCTGTCATCCTTAATCTGTCCTCCCTCTTTTCTAACCTGGCCACTGCCTCTGATCTTTGTTTATTACTCTATATAACACCTCTAATCTTTAACACTTTTATGACCTATTTGTGTTCCAAGTTCTGTAAAACTCTTACCAAGACTAAATGAAAGCAAATGTTATTTTTTCTTTGAATGTCAGGAAGCAATATTGCTTGACAGAGAGGAAGTTTGCATACAGTGAGAGTTGGCAAATAAATAGCACTCTTTTCTTTTATTTATATGTTTGTTATAATGTTTTCATGTCTGGTATAGTGTTCTTTATATATATAAGTTCTTTTAAAGGTATTGATTGACAAGTTTGATTTAATTAAGTATGTCAGTTTTTGTTTTCATCAGCATACATAGAAGCCTTTGCCATGTTAGATCTTACTAGGAGACAACAAAGCAGAGATTAACATAAAAGAACAAGTGTATTTTCTGTTTGAAGCATCGTCAAAGGAATAACCCTGTAATGCTGTCCTGGAACATTATTTGATGAAATGTGTCAGTTCTTGTTCTGATCAAAACACTTGGAGGCAGTGTACGTGTTAGACGTTACAAGGTGGTAGCCAAGCAGAGATGAACATAAAGGAACATGTAATAATAATGTTCAAAGTGATGTCAAAGGAACAACCCGGTAATGCTGTCCAGGAACATGGAGGGATCAAAGAACTGTTTTTGTTCCAACTGGTTACTGTGTCATAGTGTGTCCGATTTAGCTCATTCCTTTGTCGTTGGTTCTGTATGTCAAGCATGGCCATTCCCTTTATTGTACTCTTTATGCTGAAGGGTGAATGCTGCATGGGTGTTGTGTGAATATGGAATGAGAGTATGAGTAGGGGAAGGATTACTTTGTTGTCTCAGTGTTTGTCTCAAATGTTGCCTGTGCTTACTGAATTAGTCAGATACACATGGAGTCACTTCACTGAGGACAGTTTTACCACTTATACCCATACTTTCATGAAGCACAAGTATGTGGACGTGTTTTCTGAATGTCTGTTTTATATATATATATATGTATATGAATAGCTGAATGGTGTTATGATAATTATTGTATTAATGACTTCTGTTATATCTATTTTAGGAGACAAGTGGATAGGGTTTTGAGTAGTTTGGTCTTTCTACCTCTCTTCATTGTTACAATTGCCTTGATCTGTTCCTGGTGAAATCTGGGGTTGTCATTTTGTTTCTACCTTCTCAACAATTCAGTGACAAAATCATGTTAATGGATGGTTGGCAGGTGCTCTGGCGTGGATTGCTCCTTTTTTCCTATCAAATATCCACCGCCTTTATCTCTCCTCCTTTTAAAAAAAATTTTTTACTCTCTTTTGACACCTCTAATCTTCAGCACTTTTATGAATTTATGACCTACATGTATTTGTGTAGCAAGTGCCATAAGATCCTTACTGAAACGGAAATAAAATTTATGTTAGCATCATGTAAGCTCTGCATCTGCTGCAGCAGATTTATTTGTCGTCTGATGATGTGACAAAAACTGGACATACACTAATCTAACTACTTTATGGCCCCTTGAATGGACATATTTGTTGATGAAAACTGTTATTTGCTCTGAACCCAAGACTTGAAAGCCCTTTTCTCTGAAATGTTAAAATATTCACTCTCATCAAACGATCTGGCTGCTAATCATGTATTTGATTTAGATTAATGGATTGAATATTGTGACCATGGAAGAAAGGGCTGGGTGCTAATTTTTATGTCATTATATTTCTACAAAATTATATGAATGTTAGAACCATTAAATCCAAGCATATTACATACTCCTGCCTTTTGGATTACATAGTCCCCTTATTGGCATAAAGTGCAAGTAAGCACTGACTTTAACTCTTTATCTCCGAGGGGGGCTAACCCACTACACCTGGGCCCTTTTTTGTACTAAATCTAAAAATGACAAAAACGTCACTAAATGGATCATTAAATCGAAACTATCGAACCTATTATGATAGTATTTCATCTAATGAATAAACTTCCGGTAAAAGTAACCTGTGTTCGGCAGTTGCCGAAAAGTAATTTGATGTCGAAGTCGTCGTAAAGGAATTTGCCCGAGCCGCTGTCTGCGGCTCACCGGCACAGCAGTTCCGACTGCAAACCCCTGGGAGCGGCTTGCCGGAGATAAAGAGTTAAGAAGTAAGTTTTTTTCTATAGGCTATCCAGTAACTGTATCTTTTGAACTCATAACTTACCTGTTGACTGCTTTTATCGCTGCCTTTGTTCTTAATGCAGTAAATAATAAATACTTTACAATTTGTATTTTTTTGCTTCTAAGATTTTTAATTGATGGCTCCTTGACCCAATCCTTACTAACTGCAGCTCAGGAGTTCACCAGAAGAAGCTAAGAGTTGTCACACTAGGGCTTTTTTGTGTTGAGAATTAGCAGTGTCAAATCGAGTCTCCTAGGTGCGGCATGTTGCATGTTTCTTTGGGTCGCAAAAGAAAGAATAAGGTTAAGAAGCATTGTTGAGCTTTATTAGGTTTTTATCTATGAGCTCTGTGTGTAAAATGTGGCCACAGTGTAAAAGTTAAACATTGTTCAGTATAGTCAGATCTATAGTTGGCGACCTTCCTTTGCGCTTATAAATGGTGACCGACTTAGGCATGTTGTCTTGTGTACCAAATGATGTAAAACTCTTACTAAAACTGAATTTAATTCTAAAAAGACAAGTAAATGTCATCATGCCAGAAACATACAGTAATTTATAAGTCATTTCTGATAATGACAAAGGTCTTTTTAAATTGATGATTGTGTACTGTATTAGTTTGTACATTTTCAGCCGCAATGTAGAAGTGCATATTTTTGAGGACTCAAAAAAACTTTACATTAACTCCCCTTTGCCAGTCTGTTTAATAGAAAGGCGTTTAATCTTTACCTGTTTCTTTTTTGGGTTGTTTTGGATATTGTGTACTTTTTTTCCATTTTCCATTATAATGCGCAAAGATAGCCTTTTGTCTCTGAGCTCCCAGAAAAATAGGCCGTCTGATTGTGAATGGCAACTTTTTCAGTGTTGTCATGGCTAGGGCTTCATTTCTTGTGGTTGTGGTTGCATTTTTGGGGTGTCACTATAATGGAGGTCAGATGTAAAAGAAAACCCATTTCCCAAAGAAGTTAACTTAAACAGATAGTTGCCTTATTCTATAGAAGTTGTCGCCCGCATCAGTTTCCCCTCTATGTACCTTCTGTCCAGTCCTGTCAGAGATTGATGTTGATTACATGATACATGGAGATACTGAAACTTTTGAAATGAGCTCTGATAATGCTCATTTTTTTCTTTTTTTTTTAGTCAGTACCCATTTTACAGTTTGGAGGGCCTTATTTGTTGGCGTATGTACCAATAGGCATAATGGACAATACGTAAGCTATGTACACTTTTGTACTGGGTGGAACAAAGATTCTGTGACACCAGCTTGTGCAATAGATCATGGCTACTTTCAGAAGTGAGAGAAGGCAGAGAGTTGTTGTTCCTAGTAGACCATGCAGATGTTTTCATGGAATGACTATACTTTTCTGTCATTTATTTTTGTGTTTGATGCCAAGACTTTTTATAAGTAGCATAATACCACACAAAGATGGCTAAATTATTTAAGCCATTGCAAATTATTTCTCTCTTCACTTTTTTCTTTTTTTCTTTCAACTGCTCCAAGGTAACAATGTTTTCTTTGACACTAATACTTGATGAGTATAGCTTTATGACAGGCGTACATGTGTGTGTTTATGGCCTGATACCTGGGGTGTGCCTTTACCTCAGATAGCAGTACATGTATCATTTTGAAATGTAAAACCCTAGATTACTATCTCTACCCCAGTAACGGCCTCTTAAGTAAATAATCTAATAATGCTGATAGAGGCATTAGTTAAACCCTTACTCTTACTTTACTTTTCCCTGGTAAAGAATTCCTCATTCTCTATATCAACTTACTTATCAAGTATAGAATCAGTGACATGTGTAGATGCCTGTTAATTCAGGGATACTGTCTTTAGAAACTACCCTTACGGTGTTGAAATAAGCTTTTTTTAATAATCACATTCCATCATACGTCTGAAGCTCAGTACACTGATGTTTTCAAGTTGACACTCATTCAATATAAAAAATGTGTTTGGCTTTTTTGTCCCTACCTGTTACTTACAAATTATATTCTCCAACTGATGGACTGATATTAAACTTATCGTGTATGTCATGTATACATTTCTTTAGTAGATATTTTCAAGGGAACATAAATTTAATTGACTGATGTGTCCTGTTGACTTTCCAGGTTTATTATGTTTTGTCAGCTGTTTTGTTTTGTTATTTTAGGCATTTTTACAGTATTTGTGTGAAATTGTATTATCTCAGACAAGACATGATGAGGTAAACTATTTGGCTACTGATTGAATTTTGAAGCGGTGTTTGATGTGTTGGTGCTTGTTTTGTATTTAGATGACTGCGGTCTTCCACTTCAGTGCTAGGGTTGGACCTGAACAACCGTTTTGAAGCAACCTTCCTACTTAATTTTCTAAATTAGGTTGACGGGGAGCTTAAACATTAACTTTTAGTCAAAAACAAAAGATATCAGTTTGACCTGAACGTGCTCAGTAAGGTGTCATAACCTGTCATGCTCAGGCTTGCACAGACCTGGAGTTGATGTTAAGATGTATTGGTACCTTTAGTAACTCTTGTACCAGGTGCGTCAGTTCACTGTTGTCTGTGGTTAGGTGATTGATTCACTGTCGCACACAGGAGACCCGAGTTTGATTCCTGAGTGGAGAGAAGATTTTTATTGCTCGGACTTTCTCCTGAGATGTATCCCTGTCAGTGTCAGCCTGGGTTGGTCCTAATATGCAGGTTCGGAAGCCGGCCTCCTAGATGATCTAAATTGTGTCAATGGGGATGTAAAAACATCTACATTTTTTTTTTAAGGTGCCTCAGTTCAGAAGGAACAAATGGTTTCATCTTTCAGCTGAGGTTGTTCATGATTCAATATTTTACTTTAATGCTGTGACCCAAAATGGGACAGAAGTTGTAGAGATGTATAGCAAATAGCAAAGTAAGCAGAGGGTTAGATTATGCTGGGGTTGCCAAAGTACAAGGACAGCACAGATCCGGCTCCTACATTCAGTGTACCTTGGACAAGACTCCTATTCAAATCTTTCAGCTGAGTAGACAGACTCACTTTACCGGCGTCTGTGGCAAAGCAGTAAGGTGCTTTGCTATCGCATGCAGGTGACCTTAATTCGATTCCCAAGTGGGAAGAAAATTTTTATTGAATATCTCTGTCTTTCCGCTGGAATGTTGTATCTCTTTATTTTGTGGTTGGTTGGGTAGTGACAGAAGGGTTGCAATCTCTATAGTCCATGACATAATTTGTTAAGAAATCCAAAATCTCTTACAAAGCGTAATGTTTTCTTCCCTGTATGTTGAAGTTTGTATGACCCTTAAATACAATTTATAAGATAATAGGTGTCCTATTAGGTTTAAGTGATAAACTGATACTTTTTCTCATGTCTTTCGAGTCAATTCCACTTTCAAATTGCTTTTTTTGGCAATATCGAAAGCCACTACTCAGGACAGTTTGCATTTGAATATTATATTTCTTATATTCACACTCGATGGAGATATATTTAGAGTTGCACTTATTGGAAATATACACATTTAATGTACTACTTTCGATTTTTCGAAGTTGCTCACAGCCACTTTTATGACTTCTTCTCACTCAATATATAAAATTGATGACAATGACTTGTAAAGTTTCTAATTTTTTTAAGCACTATCTATTTGCTGGGATTGCTTATACTTAAAGGGTATGCACACAATCAAGAATTATATCATGATAAGTGTATAAAAGGCAATGTTCAAGTTTTCTGAAAACTGCTATTCAAGTTTCTTTCAATACATTTACAACGGTTGTCATGACCACTAGATAAACAACTGATGATAAAAGATAAACTAAAATAATGACGCATAGAGGTGTCTTCCCTTAACATCTTTTTACTTTTTTTTCTCAAGACATCTGCTTCACACAACACTTTGAGTCGATTAGTTATATATATATATATATATATATGAGGCAGCGTGGTAAAATTCCTGGGCCTTCAGCATATTGTGGGAGGGTGACAAGCTTTGAGATGATACTAATAACTCTAAATGTCCAAAAATTGATGAGCGCCTGATTCCACTACGTTGCAACATTTATATATTATATTATATATATATATATATAAAAATTGTGACTCAAAAATAAAATGTTTAATATTTTATTTTTCTTTAATGCTGTTACCCCAAATAGGAACAGAAAATAGAAATTGTAGATGTATAAGAAATAGCAAAGTAAGCAGAGAGTTAGATTATGCTGGGGTTGTCAAAGTACAAGGACAGCACAGATTCGGCTCCTACATTCAGTGTACCTTGGACAAGACTCCTATTCAAATCTTTCAGCTGAGCAGACAGACTTACTTTACCGGCGTCTGTGGCATAGCAGTAAGGTGCTTTGCTATCGCATGCAGGTGACATGAGTTCGATTCCCAAGTGGGTAGAAAATTTTTATTGAATATCTCAGTCTTTCTGCTGGAATGTTGTATCTCTCTCAGCCAGTGATGGCCCTGACAGGCAGAGTCGGAAGCCTGCCTCCTAAAAATCCTATACTGTGTCGATGGGGCGGAAAAAAATCACCTATGTGTGCATACATAACATATATACAGTACAATGTAGTTATTTTGCCTGCAGTGGAGGGTTATGAGACACTACTTTTTTCTACCAAGCATGAAATGTTGCCAGTTGAGTGTGTTTCACTTCAAGTCAAAGAAACAGACTAACATTTTCATAATCCCACCTATGTAAGGGTTATGGTATAGTGATTATAATGAAAATTAGAGAAAAGGGTACCAGCTTTTGTTTGGTGCCTTTTTTAAAAATTCTTTAATATCACTTGTCTGTGATCTCCCCCAACTCACTGAAGTACACTTTAGTCCTCTTTAACTGAAAGCTCCTGGACCAACAGATTTTCTTTGGTTTAGCCCGGTTTTCCATTATAATAGATGAGTTTGTGCTCATATTTAGAAGGAAAAAAATGGGGACTTTTTCTTTCAGTTTACTGCTGGTTTTTAAAAAAATTAGCTGTGCTCTGTTTTAAGCGGACTCCAATGTAGAAGTGACCTGGAAATGAGGTTTCTCTATACCAATATGTATTTGGAAACAAGTTTGCAAGAAATGTTCATGTATTATTGCTGTTCATATTAATTATGTTAATTTCGGTACTTTAAATTCTGTAAGAAATAAAGTGTTGGCAAAGAGCAACCAAGTTGTTGTTCTTCCTTGTGTCCGCTCAATTCATCGCAAATAAGCACAGTAGCCTAGTGGTTTGGCTACCGGACTCGAAATCGTGAGATTGCGGTTTCGGGGGTTCGAGCCTCAGCTCGGTCCGACGTGTCCTTGGGAAAGGCACTTTACACAAATTTCCCACTTGGCTTGGTCCTTTCGGAGACGGACGTTAAACTAGGAGGCCCCACCTCTTAAATAACCTAATAGCTTTGATAGGGGCGTTAAACCCATACCATTTCACCATTTCACAAATAAGCACTGCAGTCCAAATTCCCAAATCTGTGCTGTCCTACAAACACTTAACTTAGGTGCCAGTCCACTTGGCGGTCTACAGCTACGTTTTTGTTCTATTTGACGGTCTAACGCTATGTTTCTGTTCTTCTGGACGGTGTGCCGCTATGTTTCCATTCCACTGCACAGTCTTCTGCCATGTTTCCATTCCACTGCACAGTCTACTGCCATGTTTCCATTCCACTGCACAGTCTACTGCCATGTTTTTGTTCTACTTGACGGTCTACAGCTATGTTTCTGTATGACAATAGTTCCACTTGACGGTCTACTGCTACGGTACCGCTCAGGCTACTCTATTACTATCAACAAGCCTGACCCTAACCTAAACCAACTAACACAGCACAGGTAGACAGTTTTCCATCGCACAGGCTGTCAAGTTGACTGGCACCCACTTTTTTGTCAGCTTTTGAGATATTAAGAAATAACTACTAAAGGCCTGTCCATCCCCATCACTCGTAGGTTTGTTTTGTTTTAGTTTTAGTAGAGGTTTTACAGTGCTCGCAACTGCATAAAGTCATATGAGTGCCAAGGGGTGGATGTCAACAGAGAAGTCCTTTCAGGGAATCAGACTTACTCTGCTCTCCTCTCTAGCTTCAACAGCACAAAGTCTGCTTCGACTATCAAGGCACCCCGGAAATAGCGGGTCACAAGAGTGTGACAAACATACAAAGGAAGTAGAGGGAAAAGACGATAGTAAGAATTAGGAAAGAAAAAGCAGCAGTTCCCTATTGCAGTTCAGGCACAGTTATGAGCATGACATTGATGAATCAGCTCATTTACAATTACAGTTCTACTGTAGGCATAAGAACTCGAGATGTTAATGTCCCCCTCTTTGGGAATGGCCTAAAGACACTTCAGTCAGTAGCACCGCCTCGTTGGTTTGACCTCCAGTTAGTGCTGGCATTGTGAATAATTTTTAAAAAAATATTTTCCACAATAATCAAATTCTTAAGGTAGGTAGTTAAGGTAGGGTCAAGCTTAAGCAGCTTGCCATCTGAGATAACAAAAAATGTGAGAGGTTCTTTGTAGGTCCAAAATTGGCACTGTGCAGTTTCTTAATCTTTGGTATGGACTGAACATGCTCAAGAAATATTTTGTCAAAATTTAAATTCTAGATTTAAAAAAAAAAAAAAAAAGCATAGAAAAAAAAAAACTACTAAAAGATTGAAAGTTTTTCTTTCCTGAAAAATGTTCTCTGGGCTGAGAACATTTGAATAACTTAACCCTATCCATATGCCCTGGGGTCATCTGGTGTTGTATTATTCTCATTTTAGACTTCTAGTGCAAAGATCTCTGAAACTTTCAGTATTTTTCAAAAAATCATTTTGACAGACTGCTGTACAAAGCATACAGATCGGATTAATGAGTAAATTTTCTCTTTGGAAAGTGGTGGCACAGTGTTCCCATCGTATAGATACGATAGTAAAACATGACGTATGGATAGGGTTAACGGCGAAATTTTCACAAGGCAGGAGCAACTGGCCTTAACAAAAAGCAACATCTTATCTCCTGAGACTGGGATTACTGGCACCTGTGGTTCAGTGGTTAGACGCTTTGATGTCGCATGCAGGAGAACCAATATTGATTCCCGCATGGGGAGAAATTCTTATCGAGTATCTCAGTCTTTCTATTGGGATGTTGCATCCCTCTCAGCCGGGTTAGCCCTGACAGGCAGAGTCGGAACCCCACATCCTAAATGATCTAAATTGTGTTGATTGGATGTAAAAACACCCGCATTTTTAAAAAAAATTTTCACCCAAGTTCTCAACCTTTCGAAATTCAAAGCAGATTT